TCTGTATTTCCTTCGTTCTCTGTTTTGCTGGTCTCTGATATCGGGTGCCTTTATTTGATGGTTATATTTTGCATAGAATCTGTGAAGTGGTTTACGCAAAGCAGGCGTCGTTAGACCAGCACCGATGTTACCAAATTGCAGTTCTGTCTTCTCTGCCGGTGACATCCTGCGCCTTCGTAAATTCTTTTTCTCGTGATTTTTGCACTTGCTTCTGATAAGTTTGACCTCGTTCTCTGGTGCTGTAATGACTATTGTTCATGGGTTTTTCCGTTTGGGTTTGGTGAACTTTCAGTCCTTGCTTCGAGGCGTTTTGGCTGATGGCTGGCCTAACATCCGGCATCGCATGACATCTTCGAAACTAGCATATCTAGCTGGTCTCGCATCCTTTTGAGCACGTAGAACAGCAGTTGGCACAATGCTAGCGAGTGTGCATTCACGACACTTTGGCAGGGGTCGGTTACGCTGTGCGGTTATCAAGTGTCAGCGCAATGTGGACATTGCAAGTAAAATAAGCCAAAGGAGGATGCTGAAATCGTTAGAGAGAAAGTGGCCGGAGCAAAAACGAAAACGGGTACTAGATGTTTTACTTTAGAGATAGGGATAGTTTTAGGGTCTGGGCTAGTGCCAGACTTAGAAATGAGGTTAGAGTTATGGCTTGTGGTAAGTTTAGGGGTTCCGGTTAGAGTGGGGGTTTGAATTGTGCTTTAGGCCTACGTTTAGTGCCAAGGTTGCGGGTAGGGTCATGGTTACGGCCAGCGTTAGAGTTTCGGTTACGGTTAAGATAAGGGTTGAGGTTAGGCTTAAAGTTGGGCTTAAAACCAGGGCTTGTGGTGGGTTTGAGGTAAGGTTTAATGTTAAGCTTAGAGTTAGCGTTAGGTTTATGATTACGTCGAGGATTGAGTTTACTTTTGAGATTATGATAAGGTTTATCCTTAGGTTCGTGGTACTGATGCCCCGAGTGTCCTGTCAGCCAGGTCTTTTGCAGGATTCTAGGTTTCTTTCAGTTTTGCGGCAGATTTGTCATACATCATACTACTTTTTCCGTTTCAGCCTCAGTTACTTTCCCCACTAACGATTTCAACATCCCCCTTCGGCGTACTTTACTTTTAATGCCCACATTGCGCTTACACTTGGGACCCTGACAGCGTAATGGACGGCTGTCGACGCTTTATTTCGACTGAGAAGGGCACGAAATGATTGGGTTCTGAACAGGCTTTCAATATAATGCGCTTGTTTTTGTGACGATTGTCCACTAGTAGAGGGGCGCTGACCGATCGCTTTTCCAGAACTCTCTCGTTCCGTTGCGCCTAACGGGCTCTCTCTCGAACCCAAGCAGCAGCCGCATCGCGGAGCGTGATATATGTTCACTATGTGGCGACCAAGCAGTCCTTCTCGGATATCAAGATATATAGGCATTGTTCCGTGAACTGGCCGAAAACAATCAGTTGGTCCACGTTCCTTGCAGACGGAGGGGAGCGTGCAGATCTTCGCGCAGCTATTCCTTCGCACCATAGGGAGTGAGTAGGCATTAAAGACAATGGCAGGTTACTCATCGCGATATGCCAGGTTCATTGCCATGGGACAGTTCTGAAGTCTTGTGAGAAGTAAATCAACCTGCTGGCGATGTCGTTTCAGATGACGAAGTCGACTTCAGTCCCTTCTCTCCTTTCCTTCTACGGTCACCTCAGAAAAAAGTATAACTCGCTCCTATTTACTCCAGCTATCATAACAACATGAACCGTGACTTGCCGAAGACGACGGTGTCTTGTATTGATCCGGTTTGCGAGCAATCCGAGTCTACCTCCTCGTTACACGGCTATCTGATGTTGGTTATTCAAATAACAGCGATTCCAGGCTGCCAGCTTGACCAAATTCACCCCGGAGACTAGATTGAGGGGAAAGTCTCTCTATTTGTGTTGTTTTGGTTGCTTTTGCAGCCACGGTCAGATTTCCAGACTGTGTAAAAAATGTAAAAATTACTACTTAAGCAATATGCATTTTATCACATTTATTTTCGATGGCATGATATTGCGGCGGCCTAGGACCTAACAACTGGTCAAACAGACACCCCGAGATAATAAGACGAAGGAGTATCGGCATAAGAAGGTCATTCTAATGTATGAATTGTGTAAACGGGTTACAAAGATACAGGTGAAACAATAAAGGGGAGTGTTTATTTGTGCCCGCCAGGCCACCGGTGGGGAGTGCAGCGCTGGGGGCTACTGCTACCATAGTGAGAGATAATATAAGACGAACCGATCTGACGATAGCTGTAACGACGAGGATCAGTGACTGAGAATGAATGGGGGCACCGGCGTCTTCACTGCCACTCCATCGCACCATCTCCACCCTAACCCATCGCTTCTGTGTTCTTCAATTCACTCAAACAATATATGCAAATGTATTGTATAGAACACATGAACGAAAATATGCTTTATTTTGCTCATTTGGTAACGCATCACGTCGTCTTCACATTTTATACTCGAAGAACGAGTTTATAAAACTTTTTAATTATAATATCTTTTAAAACGGTGCAATGTCCACTCATACAGCATCGAAACCTTACGTTCATTATAAAGTATGCGACCTAGTCTACATCCATTGTAATATTTTGCGAAGTGGACATATAATCATCCTAAAGACTAGAAGGATGTGTAACTTGTAGACAGATTGCTAAAGCCACGGCTGACTTGGCATAAAATTTTTCGGGAATTATAGGACGAATGTACCATTTACTCGAGGTGATGTCGACGGAATTTGAACATATACGGCGTTCTAGAAAGCGAACGAACATTCTGGCGAATCCAAATGGAGTAGTATTTCAACCTCTGTAATTAACCCTTCCTAATCGAAAAAGCATAGCCGAAATGAGACTTACATTGCCTGAGATCATTCATAGAATGTACATTCACAGACGCCATTTATGATCAACTAACCAGATATTCGGTAATCGGCAGAGATTGCGACACCTGATGCATGCACGCTCCCACTAACACGACGATGACGTCCCCTAAGTTCATTGTAGTACATTTAGGAAAATGTGCCATGTGAACAAGAACAACATACTCACCGACTACATCAACAGTTAGGCGGATGTTAACTATTGTTATCTAATTATTTGTAAGCTTGCCAAATACCGGCGCACCATCCACTCGCCCACCCTTCCCACCACCAGTGTCAAGTGTTAGCAAAAAAACAGAATCCTCTGATTCTCACAACTTTATTCCTTCTTCAGCCACCTTTTGCAATACTTTTGAGCTCTCTTCACCTTCCAGTAATGAGGTCTGTGTCGTGGGATACAACAATTGTCCTTATCCAGCATACATTTGACGCAGCCCCTCATGTTGTCCTTGGCGCATTTACGGCAGTTTTTGGGGTCATACTCGTGACACTTCTTTCCGCCATGATGCAACTCCGCCTCCGCCTTTTTAGGCTCCTCCGTCGAGCTCACCTGAGCACTCACAAGCGCGACCATTACCAGCGCCAGCAGGAGAGGAAGAAGAGATCTGCGAGAAGACATACAGTGGTTAAGTAAGTGTCATACTAGGTTAACATCGCAATATTAAGAATGCAGGTACTCACCTCATTACTAGTAAGACAAGTTGGCCATGACAGGCTTATTTTACGTGACTGCCTTTATACTTGCGATCATGGTCCATATCGCCAATGAGTTTGGCCTGTGAGGTGTGCGCTCCAATCACATTATCGATTCTGTGGCTCAGGAGTCCACTGAATTCAACCGTCAGCCAATCAGTGGACGCCTTGAAATCGAGGCTAATACGAAGATAGGAATGCGTTTTGACGTGCGATGTGGCAACACTGGCACTGAAGAATCTGAGATTTTCCCGCACTCGCTCATTGGAATTTGCTTTGCTTTTCTCGTCGCAAACATTTTGACCGAGAGTGCTGTATACAAGCTGACGCGAGCCTACAATGTGACTTGTTACATTTTCCTCTCCATTCACCCCTCCTTCAAGAATCATGTAAAGACGATTTCGTCAAATACCTCCATACGACCTGCAGGTGTTCTCTTTGAAGTCACAATAACTGTTTGATTCTGTTCATATGAGTAAAATCAGCAGAACAGGGCCCAGTTTAAACATGCCATATCTCATTAATATCAGGGAGTTCCAGAGAGGTGTCCAGGGAACGATCAAGTGCTTTGTCGTCCAGCAATGCGCTGAGAGTTCCATTTCTAAATTGCACCCAAAGTATCCTAACTTATACCTATAAGGTGAGCTTGCACATTCGCGATCGACGATATTGCAGTTACTTCTAGAATACTTGCTTTAGCAAACACAATTGCAAGGATTGCCAAATAAGACATTTTTGCGTTGACGCGCTACTGCTGCCTTGAGACAAGGGTGATTCTTTCTAGTTTGCCGCACTCAAATTGCGCGGTCTGGGAAAATGTCAAATTAGCAAGAGTTTTTTTAAATCTGTCCCATAGGGTCAACGCCCACGGACAAATGAATGAGTGTTAACTCTCAAGTATTTAGAACTCGAAGTCGTATGAATATTGCGTGGGAACTGTTGTCTGCTAAACATGTCCGAATAGTGTAACGCATGTAATAGCTTATTACCATATTCTGCGTCTGAGATGTGGCATTTCGACACAACACGCCTAATGAATAAATGGAATACACAATGTCTGAGATAACAAAAATTGCCATCTGGTGTTCATCGATTTTCGGCAGTTTTAGTCTCTTACTCTACCTCGAGAACAAAACGTCATTTTCAACAGAAACGAAGAGATGAGTCCCACAAAGCAGTCTTGAAGAAGGAGACACGATCGCTGGGACAAGAGCTTTATTAGCCTGACATTTCGGATTCCTTGCCGAACCCATCATCAGGCTTTGGCCCGAATCTATGGCCTCCCTAAGGTGCACAAAGGCGGCGCTCCTCTTTGATCCATCTTGTCACTCAAAAGTACTCCAACGTACGGACTGGCTCAGTGGCTGTTCCGGCATCCCAAGTTCCTGACCGCTGAGTCAGGCACCATGTTCTCTTCGTCAGCACGTGTCCTGGATAAACTCAAAGGGGTAAGCCTCCATCCGAATGAAGTCATGGTATCTTTCGATGTTACATCCCTTCTTGCTTATATTCCCCAGGATCTGTCAATCGAGACGATCGAGCTGCTTCTACAAAGCAAATACTATGAATCGGAGAATCGTCTTGGGCACACCCAAGTACTTCAGCTCCTGAAGTTCTGTCTCAGGACGCACTTCACGTTTGACGGGACAATATACGAACAGGTGAACGGCACGCCAATGGGTTCGCCGATTTCGGGATTCATCGCCGAGGCGGTCCTGCAACGGCTAAATTTGCTGGTCTCCCAGCACCACAGACCGAAGCTCTGGGCCCGGTATATGTATGATAACCTCGTCTTTATCGATCGGGATAAACTGCTGACATTCGAAGAACATCTGAATGCGATCTTCCTGGACTTACAATTTTGGACGGAGGAGGAGGAAGAGAACAATCAGCAGACTTTCCTGCATGTCCTTGTATGCCGCAAAGTTTGTGGTGGCCTAAAGACCACAGTGTTCAGTAAAACGATAAATACGATGCAAGTACTGAACTTCAACAACAACCTACCAATCAGCCACAAAGGCAGTTGTGTAAGGACGCTCTATGGGCGAGTTGAAACAAATTGCTGTGAGCCGGAAGACAAGATTGCCGAATTACAATACCTCCGACGGGTCTTCAAAGCCAATGGCTACCCGCGCAACTTCGTCAACCGGTGCATACGCAAAAGGGACAAAAGGCCTAACCGCACGGCCACCAAATTTTGGCGAGCGCTTCCGTCTGTAAAGAACGTTTCGGAAGCTTTCGACCGCCTTCTCGCACCACTTGGGTTTGGAGTTGCACATAGACCGGAGGCAACCATCAGTTGTCAGTTTATGAAACCGAAAGACCGCGGCACGAAACGTCTGGGGTCGTTTTTCAGATCTGGGGCAGTTGCGGACAAAGCAACAACGTCGGAGAAACCGAAAGACAACTCCAAACGCGAACAGCCGAGCATGCTGCAGCGGTGCGGAGAAATGACGTCAGCCCTCAAGTTGTGGCCCATTCGAGGAGATCCGTCCACACATTCAAATTCGACGAGGCCGAAATTCTCGCAAGAGGTGGCAACCGCGTAAGCCGGGAGCTGCTGAGTCATGGTTTATTGGCGCCCAGTCCATTAACAAGTGCAATGACCTCCCTGTTCCATACTCAGTGCTGAGACCTCGCCTAGGCGGAGAAATGAGCCACGCGGGAAGCGCACAGGTGAACATTTTTCCCAACGCCAGGGTCGGTTGATCAGATGGCCGAGTAAGCATCTCATCAACATTCAACGCACGTGATAAAATTGCAACAATTTATGACACGAATGTCGGCTACCAAATTGTCAACACACAAAGTGCAACGATCCCTGATGAAGGTTGGAGCCGATAATATTCATAGTTATGCGGTAGCATGACGACTGCATCCTATAAATACTGTGGCCCCTTGTGCACCAACCACCCTCATCTGCTCTTGTCTCTGAGGAGGGGCTCAAGAAGAAATCTGAAACGTCGGACTAATAATGCTCTTGTCCCAGCGATCGTGTCTTCTTCTTCTTCTTCTTCTTCTTCTTCTTCTTCTTCTTCTTCTTCAAAACCTTCATTTTACAATCAAGCAAATTTGGTGAAGGAACTACACGTGATTTGGCTAGTCTGTGAATAATTTTCAAGCTGTTTACTCACAAAGGGTCCGAGCCTTGACAATGGTGAGATAATTACTTCTGACTGCTACCATTACTGGTTGGCGTTAGACCTTTGATTATCAGGCTGCTAATTGCGACCGCGTAGTTTGGTCTAACCCAGCAATCAGCTTGGCAGGCAGCTACGCGTCAACGGGGTTCGTCCCCCGGTCATCGCGCGGTCATCACTGAAATCTAGGCCTTTAACTATTGCAGGTACGCTCACCAATTACCCAGGACCTGGACCTGGACTTTAGCTATGGCGTCAGGGCAATTAGATAATTGCTCATGGTATTCTGATTCTCAGGATGGTGGAGAACCCAGAAATGTGGGATAACAATTATGCATTCCACTGACTGTGATGGGGTCTGCTGGAGATAGAACGCTGACTCGAGGTCAGAACCGGTGACTTGACTTCCAGTAACTTTGCCCTTCAACCTGCTGGCTTGACAACCAGACTTTAAGCCAGTGCTTCTTGATTAGACGAACATACTCTCATGGGCCTCGCATAGAACTGCGCCATTGGAGTTTAAATCAGAATATCCTGCCGGCTAGTAAGTCGAGTCAGTAAGGCTAAAACTAAGGATCAACTTTGAAACGAAGAGTTGACTTTGATTAAGAAGAAGCAGTCAGATGACATCCGCAAGAGCTGTCAAATGAGAGTTCACTTCGGATCTAGCACATGGAGTAAGGATTTCTATTGCTCCTCCTTTAGAGAGTGGATATTTCCGTGCACAGCTTTCATAAAACGGCGCATTTCGCCTGATGCGACTGTGGGCAGTGAATGTGACCCTCTGTTTTACTATGACCTCTGCCGTCCCGCACTCTCTACACGAAATAACGCAGGCAGTGTTCAGTTATCTACGGTCTCTGATAGTGGGCATTCGAAATCCTTATTCTGAATCTGAGACACAAAATCAACCTCTTCCAACGAATACCTCTTCTTCTTCTTCTTCTTCTTCTTCTTCTTCTTCTTCTTCTTCTTCTTCTTCTTCTAATGACATGCCAAATGGGAATCGCATTTCACCTATCAAACAGTGTTATATTACACTGCTCAAACAATGTATTCGGGCGAAGATTTGAAAACCTTTTTTGGCGCAACAAGTGGATGATGACCGTGAATTACAAGACCATAGTGTTGCGGTTAGTAACGGAGTTAAAGGCCGCCGAAATGATCCAGCGGACAGGAGGGACCATATTATACTTGTGCTGAGACACTGTGCATTCCGCTGAGCCATAATATGATCCAATAAAGGACAATATGTTGAAACCGGGCTGACATTTGTTTGCATAGTCAATGGCTTCGGATCAGCAATCGGTCCTCCAGCGTTTCTCGATTGTTTTCTTTTAGATTTTCTAGCTTTAACTTTTCCGTGTTTAATTGGTCTCCGAAATTAATGCGGTATCTTCTAGTAAATCGTTCTGAATGAAGTTATATTGACCAAATCCATAACTTGATCCTACATTTTGTGCCGAAATCCCTCAGCTTCCATGGGATAACCGTGCAATATTCCTAAACTGCCCGCAAGGAGTCAGCAGCATGTAAAACTTGCGTACTTTAACACACTGACTGCTCAGGTACTGGCTAAAAGCTCAAAAGCTAGTTTCATTGAAATTCTGCCGTTGTGTGGGGCAGTTGTGATTACAACTCTATGGAAAGAGAGAAGGAGTTGTTAAATTAATACCCAATGAACCTGTGTAATTTGGTAATATTACTAAGTTGTCCAATCACAGCATAGATTTGTTGACAGGCTTGGACACTCGATGTATGCGCGCGAGAGAGCGGGATAGTGCGCTCGACTCTCAGCGCATATTACTCACTATAAACTATCTTACGCGCTCGAAATTACCAGAGTGCGCTGAAAGCCGTGGCGTGGAGTGCTGCCATCTGGCAGGATAACTCAGTCCTCATCTCACGACGGAGACTTAGACTGCCGCGGCTCCTTCCTCATGTGACCCTTGTGGTACTCCCACGTAGTTGTGACCCGAGTATCCTCCCTTTCTATTTGGTATGAAATTCTGGTTCTTTATGCGTGGAACAAGGCTGTGGCACGCCAAGGTGCAGGTTCACGACGCGCCAGCGATCAGCGACCGATCCCGCTTCCGGTCTTCTTGCCCATGTTCTGACACCGGGATCAGGTGGATGGTGAGGAGGAGGGGGAGGAGGTGCGGCGGCGGCGGCGGACACAACGCAATTTTAGTACCAGTACAGACTAATTCACATGCCAGTTGCTGTCCCTTAGCCCAGCTTACTGTGGGACACAGGAGGGATGCGCTGGCAATGACAATCAAACTGTCATTGCGAAGCCGACTGGATTGCGACCACTAGAGTCGCTTATTTTTCGTGTCCTGGATGAAACCACCTGTCGCCTAGGCACAGGTTCATGCCGCGCTAGCCACAAGCGACCGAACCCGCTTCCGGTCTTCTTATCCTTGTTCTGACACCAGGGTCACATGGACAATCGAACTGTCATCACTAAGCCGGCTGGATTGCGACCATTTGAGGAGCTCACTTATGGTGTTCTGGATGGAGCCACTCGTCATATAATTCGGATATGTATGCACCCAGTGACTCCCTGCACATTTGTCTGTACATATTGCATGGCTTCAGGTAGTACCGCTGCGAAGTCTCAGTTCAGCTTGATCGGCTTTCATGAGGAGATAAAAAACGTCAGCTCTCATTGTGACCGACAAAGCCCACTTTAACCGGCTTATCTGGATCAGTCTTCTAATCTCTCGAGCATAGCGGATCAAAGTTGTTAGGTAACGACCGGGGGATCAGCGACTCATGCACTGACATCCGACCTGTGTACGTACGTCAAAGTCGACTGTGTGCTGTGTTGATTTTCTCGCATCTCTATGTAATGAACTCAAGATACAACTGATTGTTGGAAAAAATCTTTTCGATCGGCTATTCTCCCACATGATGAACATTTGCTAGCAACTGCACATGACGACATGGACATTTGCACCAAGTGAATGATACGAGGGAACTTCTGCCTTTTGCTGCGATATCTGAAGACCATTAGAAAAAGAAGCGTGACAAATTTATTGTAAGAAGTGATCAGAGGAGGATTGAATGAATGTTGATTTAAGAGTTTTATGGCGGAACAATGGACTGTTCATTGGTTGGTGTGTAATACTGTTCACTAGAATATCTGCGTATGAAACAGTAAATTTGGATCAGGTGATGTCTGACTACTTCATGTGTGGATGTTGTTTTCCGTTCCGAATGTATCCACTTATAAAAAAGAAGGCTCCCAGCCAAATGACCATCTCCAATGTTTTTCTTTTAAACCATTTCACACATAGATGACCAACTTATTTGGGTCCAGGTTTCGTTCAGAATACACGAACGCCCGGGAGATGATTTTGTCTACGACGGAGTCAGTGATGCCGGTCCATGCGATTGAATGGTTTTATCGATATCGAACAGGGACTTCGTTTTAGGGGAGGAGAGCGAAAAGAGTTGGAGGATACATGCAAAACCTGTCAAACAGGCGGCTATCGGGAGAGAGATTTAGATTAAAATGAAGTCGGAAAACCCGCTCATCCCAGCTCAAATGTCCGGGGTTCTAATTCGTTTTCATATTCGTTGTCTTGTAAGCTTTGAGGGTCAATTTGGTGTTTGGTGGATCGCGCTTAAAGACTGGAGTGACGTAGTGGTAGGATGGATCTGTAAACTTTGACCTGTTATCTATGTATGCGTGGGTGTGTACGGGCTTGCTTCCTACTACTAGCCCCCTTCGCATATTTCGATTGTTCATACGCTCGAGGATGTTTAAAATGAATGGAACAACGTCTTATTCAATAGTTCAGATTTGCAGCAGCACTTCTGGCTCGCCAGGACGCTCGTGGTTTATCATGAAGACCGTCGGCGCAAACGTCAATTTTGGTGTTCAGAAGGTCGTGCAGGTGGACCAAATCTTCATCAGAAGCATTAACGTCGAAGTATCTTAAATGGACCCAATTAGAATATTCAGAAGAAGTGGGTGGGCTGTTTATGTGTGTGTTTACGCACAGTTGACAAATGTACTGCAACATTTTTCCTGAAACCTACTGGTATTGGTGACTGGATGTGGAGAAGGTCGATTTTTAAACTATAAATTTAATCCAGCGTGGGAAGTTTCTCACGGGCTTTCCGGTAGAATTATGCAGTTGCAGTTGTTCGACAACTCGGAGGTCCCCAAACAAGGGGTCAAGGGTGGCAGAGCTATTGGACATGCCTTACTGTTGCGAGAGAGCCTACACGCAGCTCAGCATGTTAGTTGCAGCAAGTATCGCCTTCAGTCGAGGATGATGGTCGTTGAGGTTTATTGTTCCCCAGAGTGAAGCGTTTGCGTGCGCCTGGGTTAGGTCCGCCTGCAGCCTGCCAGATAAGGACGCAGAGTCGAGTAATTTCGGGTCTTCGCCAAGTTG